TCGTGGAAAGTTTGGACGAGAAAATTTATTAACGTGATAAAAAAGATTCATTTATTAAATTTTACAAGGAATGGTATTCGAAATGACGGTGTCTTTCTTTTGAGTGATTTAAAAAGAATTTTATCGGAATACAGGTGGAAAGAATTTTAGCTAATTTGATACTTTCGTTTTAAAGGCAGCATGCGAATTGTAAAAATGAGATAAATCATTTGTGAGTGATTTTTCATTTGGTCACAGATTGACAAACTTAAACCAATTGATTATTTTCTAGATATTTTACCATTTTAATGTCTTTCAAATATTTTACTAAAGTGACGTTTAAGGCCGATTCCAAAATGATGAAACGCAAAAATTTCGTTCCCAATGAAAAGAAATTTATCTTGAGATTATTAGCTTATTTACAAATTTCGATGTATGTGTCATTTTGCAAATTCTACTTTGGTAAAGTTGATTTTTTACTTTACTTTACTAAAACGTGCACTTTCAATTTAGTTTTCCGGTGTCAAAAATCCGTGGTCAATACTCCAAGTTTCATTACACATTTTCAATTCACTTGGAAGATAAACAGAGGGTTCATTCAATTTACTGAAACGAAAGTACATTAATGAATCTGATCCAAAAAAAAAAAATATCGATTTCAATTAAAACAAAACTGATGTTAAAGCATCAAAAGCTACAGTTGCGAGATGCATGCTTTGCATTGAGTTACTAAGTAAATTAAATAAAAAACAATAAACTGTCTTCATTTTCAATTCCCTTATCTTTTCCCTTTCCTACAATAAAATTTAACTTTAAATTTCCATCTCTGATCAAAATATCAATATCAATGAAAGATAAAATACAATTTTTTTTTTTTTTAGTAAAACTTTAGTTCCTCTTACAGTTTCAAAAAAAAAAAAGACGAAATAAATTTGCATAAAAATCCGCAGTCTAACGATCGAGAGAATAGATCAAGAACATTATAGAACATTCGATCGGCAAGGTCAGATAACGACGATCGAGTAGAAAGCACGAACCGCAAACCCAAACTAATCGTTTTACGCGTGTTTGCATTAACGTTATCGTCCGGTTTCAATAGTTTTACCCCTCGTAACAATTACGATTCCCCAGCCCTAAGTCCAACTCTGGCTCTAACTCTTGGAAGTAAGGCAGCGATTCTAAGGCGTTCTCAGGGAGTGAGAACACCTTCAGCCACCGCTTGAGCAATACATCTTGTCACCCCAAATGGTTCGTTGCTTGCGAACACCTAAACGCGTGCCGTGCACGTTGCACGAGCGCGCATTTCTTCGATGTGTTCTGTACGAATACAGAGGTTACATATCTCGTCGTTATATATATATATATATTTTTTTTTTTTCATTGGGTATTATCGTTCAGATTTCATCAGATTCGTGAGAGCAATACAAGTTTCAAACGAGTTATTTTGAGGAAACAAACGATCTGCAGACAGCATGACAAATTCACGTGGAAATTAGAAATTAGAAACGAGTCAGGAAATTTTGAAATTATATCATACAATGTAAAACTAAAAGTACTGATATCTCTCAGTGACATTTATTATACAAATTCAGTTCCGTAATAACGAATTTTTGTAGTCGTACGATTTTTTTTCCTGGAAAATTCAATATCGAGTGTACGCACAATTATATTGTCATCGTTTGAAGACTTTCACTTGTTTACAAAAAATTATGAAAAATGAAACTTTCTCATATACAGACGATGATGTATAAACTGCGTATTAAAGAAATTATTCTTCAATTTAATCAATTAAAATAAAAAAAAAAAGAATTATCATTATACATATTAAATTTCGTAAAATAAAGTCAAACAAACAAATAACTAACATTAAATAAATCATACAAATTAATTCAACCATTGAAAATAAATTTAAAAATTTTATTCTCTAATGGCCCAATTCATAATTTATTCTAATTGATAACAATAATCCAAAAAATACCGTCACATAAATATTAAAAACATAAAAAAATAATCATGACCTATATCTATATATAATAATAAATAAAATAAAAATTACATGTAAAAATTCTATTATAATCAAAAGTCTTAAATAATAAAAACTTTTTACAAATATAATTGTAACAATAATCAAAATAAAAATGAAAATAATAATAATTCTTTATTCAAGTGAAAATAATAATAATTAATCCTTCAATTATAAATTACGTAGATTCAGTTGTTCCGGAAAGAATCGGCAAGACTTTTAATATTTCTGTACAATTTTTTTCCCGTGGTAGAGTAGTAACCTACTCTCTCGGTTGCCCAATATTTCCAATCCGTTTTGTCCATACCGATCTTATCACGGCCCCGTCTAACACCCGGTGTAACACACACACGACGACGACGACGACGACGACGACGTCCCGTCAGAGGTATCGACCGGCAACGTCTGAACACGCCAAGAGTTCTCGCGGTAGGAGAACACGGAATCGAAGCCGCGGTCCCAGAAGGCACGCGATCCACTGATCCGTCTTGCGAGAGGCGTTACTGTTATCTTCCCCGGCCAATCTCCAGCGGACGACTAATAGGTTCAGCGCGTGAACACCTTGTCCTGGCAGGACCACGTGAAAAGGCGTTCAGTAGCCAAGGGGGGTTCGGTAACGTAACGTCGGCTCGGCTCAGGTCCGAGAAATCGTCGTGGAGAATTGTTTAACCGCGATGGTAGATAGGAACGATAACCGGGGCAGAGGCCGATCAAACGCCCCGGGTCAGCTGGCGCCCGCGCGCCGAGAGAGAATATTACTTTGAAGCGTTTATCGCCGGAATCTAGCACGCTGGATTTTCCTCCGATTCCCTTTCAGATTACCCGGAATTGGACTTTAATTCCGATAGCCGTGCGGGGATCATACCGTTGGTAGTTCTGTTTCTTTCTTTCGTGACACGAACGCGTGCCCGCCTTTGGCGACGAAACCGTTCGAAAGGTTTTCCTTTTCGAACGAGGATGAGAATTAATCGATGTTCACATTGGGAGTTACGGACGTTCGAATTCGAGAGTGATTTCTTTTATTTTATTTTTGCGCCCGCGCGCGAAAGAAAATTGACTACGTATATATTGCGGATATTATATGCGTGTGTTTTACAGTGGCAGATTTGTTGGAAGTTGTTACAATAACCAATTGTGTTCATTAGTAATATTAGTCGCATTATTCATCGCGATTAATTTGCCGTTGAGAGTACAATAAAGCTGCGGGGAATATTTGAAGTCGCCTCGTTCGTAATTCCTCTGATTTATCTTTGTTTCTCCTTTGTCGAATGTCTTTGGAAATGACAGAAAATGTAATAACGTCGCTGTAAAATGTGTACTTAAATGAAAGTGTAATGCGAGTTGTAGCGCAAAGTGAGCCGAGATGATAAAAGAGCAATATTAAAAACTATTTCATTGTCAAGATCGAGCTACCTCGTTGTTCCATTAAAATCTATATATAATATTCAATCGTATCAGAAATCAATCGTATTTACATTTGAGATAAATGGACAACGTACAACCAATTGATGTACAATCCACGAACATCAGAGAATCTTTTCCACTAAGAAATTAATTTCATTCACTGAATATTGTAATACGTACTATACATGGAATATTTTATACATTTTTATGGATAAAAGTGCATTCTGCCTTTCATGAATGAATAAATATCTATTCTGTGAATAAGTAAAATATTTCTGTAATTCTGTACTGTATTATTTCGAAAAAAAAAAAATTAAAAATTGTCAAAGATATCATTTTAAACGAAAAAAAATTAAAGAGATCGTCTAGATAATTTTTTAATGCGTAAATTATTTTTAAAAAAATTTTAAAACTGGTGACATTTATGCAATTTTATAAAAAAGGAAAAAAGTAATGTTTCATATAAATTGACCTAACAATTATCTGTTAAGTAGAGAAATTTTAATCAATACACATATTCGATCTACGTGTATTTTATTACAGTTGATATCTTGCTTTTCACGACTGAAAAAAAAATCTACTCGCGCAGCACGAGAGTTCTAATGATTCAGTATCGCGATATGAACTCTCGAACGAGAAAAATATTTCTTAATCGGTCTTGTTCGGCTCAGTTGCCACGTATCCTCGTTCGAAACCATAGAAAGCCAGACTGTCTGCCACGAGTCAAGCGTATAAGTCGCGTGACCCGTGCGTTAATCCGACGCATGAGCAACTGGTTTCTGCATAATTTCGTTGTGAAAGTTCCGACAACGCGAGCCAAAGATCGCAAGAAACGTTGCCTGCGTTAATGCTTTCCAACTGGCGTCATTGGTGTTACGATTCCGCCATGATAATTGCAATACAGTGTTCGGGATTTAGGAAAACTGTCGACAGGATATGTTTTGTTACATACACTTCCGTTCAAAATTCACGAGACAAGAACTACATTTGTCTAAAAATTATCTATTGTCGAGAAATTAAATATAATGCGTAGACACTTTGACAGCTGTATTATAAAACGCACGTGGAAATTTAACTTTAATATTTTTTGTTTTGTCAATTGTATAAATTATTTGATTTACTCTGAAAACCTTATTAAATTGAAAATAAAAAGCGTTCGACAATTTCGAAGCAGAAGTATACGCACGAAGTAACAGAATGTTGCCCTGACAAGCTATTTTGCTGCACCAGGTTCGTTAGAAAAATGGACAAAGACGAGGAAGAAGGAAGAATCGCCAGAAATATATACACAAATTAAAAGTTTAACCCTATATATAGGGCAAAGATCATTTCCACAAACAGTGTCTAATTTTCTCCACTTAACTATTGACATCTTTCTCTATCTTCGGAACGTTCCTTTACTCGAAAACATTTTAACCTTCCCTCGTGTCAAACGACGGTCTCTGACAAACTTAAACTGACAAAGTTGTCGAGAGTTTCCACAGACCGTTTCCACGGACACTCTCCATTCCAAACGAACTACCCTCACGCTAAATGGCTAAAATCCAACGACAGGGAACTTAAATAACACCGCAGATAAGATTCAACAACTTACGATTCACGTCGAGGATCACCAGCCTGGTCTGCGGCGGCACGAGGTTGGTGTTGCTGGCCTCGCAGATTAGACGAGCCTTGAGGTGTTGCCTTCCAACTTTAGGATAGGACAAGCGGTTAACCGTGAGGCCAGACTCGGCGTTGTAGTGATAGGACTCGTCTATCACGGTGTTGTCGAGGTACCACGTCAGCTTCGGGGGCGGCCTGCCACCTCGTACCTCGCAAATCAGGTTCACGTCACTCCCCTCGTTGTACGGTTCCTCTAACCTCGAGATGTCCCTCGTCGCCGCGTCCAGTATCACCGGCTTCGACGGAGGTACTGCGCGAAATACACACGTATATACACACGTACGTATGTGCACGCACACACACACGCACACGCACACGCACACGCGCACGAGTACACACAGAGAGAAGCATGATTGAATCAGCGGAAATGCGGATTGATTATTTGTCCGCCGCTTGAGAATGGCTGATCTATCGCGCTGCCTGCGTGCCGGCGTGATTTACTCGTGAAAGATTGATTAGGGCCAATTGAGTTCCGCTGATGCGAGTGATTTACCATTCGGTGAATACTCTTTTGTCGACGATTACGCGGAGACCGGGGGAAACGAACGGGGTAAAAAGCAGCCGGGGCCGGTGCATAGCGTTCGAATTTGCGCGAGCGTGAAAACGGTAAATTGCCCGGGTCTCGATCGTCCCAGTGATTTATTTATGTCCATCGGTGGATATTTAATTGTTCTTCTCGTCGCTAGAAATACGGAACGATTTCACGAACGATGGATTGGCCGCTGGTGATCGGTGCTGCTGGTTATATCGGATTTTTACGCGTTTGTGGACAATTTAGAGAGGCGAAGATGTTTCGGACGAAAGAAAGTTTCATTCTATAGTTAAGCTGTGTAATTGGTGATATAATTGGCAACTCAATTGGCATTGAAAAATTATTATTGCTGATGCTAATGAACTTTCGTCATAAATTACTCATCACTGAGATAATAAGTAACAGTAATTTCTGACAAGTGAAAGGCACGCTACTCACCTATAACAGTCAGATTCATCTTCTGCTTCCTCGTCGGCGAATTCTTGAAGTCCACTCGACACCGATAGATCCCTTCGTCCTTAGTCTCTAGCCGATCGATGCTGAGGTGAGCAGGATTCGACGCTGCGATAAAAAAAGCTCTTGGTCCCAGTGCCTTCGGCGACGACCAGAGGAGAGCGTTGTTGAACTGGCGACGACCACGAACGTCGAAGCTGAAAACCATCGGTCCCTTTGTAGCAAATGATTATTTCTTTCTATATCTACACGATACTTTTGAAACAACAACTTTTCAAATTTAACTGTTGGAATTGCCCAAATTTATCGCTAGGTGCTCACTGAATTTTAGAGGACCGTGCCAAAAAGAAACAACTTTTCTCCAATTCTTCGTTATACTACAGTCTTTTTATTTCAATATCCCATGAAATCTTATTAAATAAAGTTTCCAAATTTGTATGAAATATTAGATGTTCGATGTATTGAATTATAATATCGTTAAACACAATGATTATTAAAAAGAATAATACTATATATATATGTATAATTATATATAATAATATATATACTATGTTATTTTATTAAATATTAAATATCATATTCCGTGTTATTCTGTATTATTAAAATTTACTGTGTCGGCAATATTACAGAGGTTGGACGTTCAGTCCAATTTACTACAAGGTTGGATCAGATTTTAGATTTTGCAATTACAGATTTAGGTATCAGGTTGTTACTCTTTCAGTAAGTTAACGATCCTTAATAACAAGGAGACAAGACACTTTGACACTTAATATTCGCACGATTATAATTGGAAACGTTATTTTCTGGAACGAAAGCTCCCTCAATTAGACCGAGAAGACAAGATTATCCACTTTATAATCGCGTTGCCAATGATTTCAAGATTCGTAACAAGATCGAAGGCGGAATCGTCGGAGATTTGAGGAGCGATAAGCTCGTGCAAGCATGTTCGCAAGTTCGCACGTTACACCAACTAAAGTCTACGACGCGAGACGACTCGAAGACCGTTGTCGACTGTCGGATCTTCGGAGATTACAAGTGCTTGTTCCATGAAAATTCTCGTTCCAGTCTCATGGGATTTTAGTATTAACTCGTATCTGGCAGAAACATTCTCGCAGAGGGAACGTGAACTTCTTAAAAATCTCTTTGTAGTACATTTGAACGCCATTCCTCTGTTAAACTTCGGAGAATGTTTAATAAAAGAAGAAGCACGTACCGTAGGATTAAACTATTAACGAATCGTGCTGATTAAATTAGCAACGACGTTCCAATTTATGCTCAAGAGTATCTTTGAATAATTATTAGTTACACTCGTCACGGACGTGCATTAATAGAGTTTTTAATAATCTTTCGTAGAATATTTATAATATTTATATAAATTTATTATATTTAGTGTCTTTATTGCATTATAAACATTTCATCACAAAAATTCACGTGTCTCTTTATACGTAACAGAAATTACATTTTCTAAATTCTTCATACAACTTGACCCCAGTGAAACTTGCTCCAAGAACTGACTGAACTATCATCTAGCGTTAGACACATTTGTCCAATCAAAGTCACGTGTAACTCGTTTGTTTCACGTAGGCCATGAAAGTGGTCGGGTCCAACGCCACGTCGTCGTGGATCCTCAGCGAAAGGAGCTTAACGAAATTATAACTCGGAGGTGATTGCATGTGAAACATTCAGGACCGACGAGAAGCAGTTAAACGTAAGGAGATCTCGCGAATGCAACGAGAGAGAGAATGGAAATTTCGAAAGGACGGAAACGAACAACGTTAAACGTTTATCCCTTTCGCTCGTCATCTCTAGGTACCTGTTCCCTGTCACCTGATCGCCCAACAACGTTCAAAAGACAATGTGTATACGTGTGAGTGTGTGTGTGTGTGTGAGAGAGAGAGAGAGAGAGAGAGGATGAAAGAAGAGGAAACCGGTAGAAGGCCGAGGAGCATGAAAACCGACGGTTCCTCACGAGCGACTAAAAGTTAAATTGCGTTCCACGACTGCACAGGAGTTCGGATTTCCGCTCGTGACTGAGTATTCCCAAAGCTATCCCACTCTGCCGGCTGCTTCCGCGGCATTGACGTTGAAATACGATTTAATTCTTCCACTTCGCACTTCCAACAGACGAGGAAAGCGCTTCCGTGACGTGCCGCTGCCGTCCGGACGTCCGTACGGTTGCTTGCCCTAGGGCCGCAACGCCGGCCCCTTAGGACTCCTCCACACACCGACGCAACGCACTGATACCTACTTCACGCGTAACACTAAATGTACAGGGTGTTTCCATTTCGAGACAATTTTTTTTTTTTCGCGATTTATCGCGTTACGTTTTCAGCGCGGATCAAAGGATTCGAAATTTCGTACATCCACGTATAAATATTTTTGGTTGTGTTCTTTTTAAGGATAGCACAAGTTTGCATGTTTGACACGGTACAACACATTTTGTGATAATGATTTGCGCGATTTCTTTTTTTCCTTTTTTTTTTTCCTCTTACAAACAAATACGACAATGAAAATTGTACTGCGACAGAGGAGAAAATATTTTCTTTATAAAATTATTTGGGTCAATATCCTGTACACATTTGTCCACTATGTCGTGCAACTGAGAAAGAAATGCGTTTCTTGAATAAATCTTGCGTGCTGAAGCAATTGAAGTTCAACTTGAAACTTCTAAATAAACTCGTATGCATTTATACACACTCATCTCTGTTCATTCAAGGCGGACCTTAACTACACTTAAGTGGACCACCCTGTACGCGCGTTTCAACATATTCCCGCGTTCTCGCCTCTTTTCAGAAAATCACCAGCTTTCCATCGATGCTGAAACGATTCACAGACATAACGCGCGGGTTCCTTCTTTCGACGAGCGATAACCCTGCAAAGCGATTCCCAGCTATCAGTCTTCCGGCTGCCGGCTGAATCTTTCGGATCGATCGGTCGGTCTTTCGCGTGCCTCGTCGATCACACCGGCTGATTCGCGGAGATTTTACGAAAGAAGAATCGCCGATCGAACGTTCACGAACGCGGCGTTGCATGGAAATCGAGGCAGGCGATCCTCCCTGAGAACACCACCCTCTTTGCTCGGCGGTTTTTATTGGAAATCACGGGAGCGTCGGGGATTCGAGAATCGAAGCGGGAATCGACGGTGCACTTGGGAATGGTGGCGCGGTATCGCAAAAACTGGCCTGTTGTGCTCCACGGTACGGCTCTTTGATATTTCACTTCCGCGATTATTCCTGACCATCTACGACTGTTTGTCTCTTGTTTCGTGCTTGAGAATTTGTTGGAAATTAGCAAGTTAGCAAGATTTATATCGCTTTGGAAATGTATCAATGATTGTCTCATTGTTGTTGTTCAAAAAATGAGACAATCAATACTATGTACTCGTGTCTTCTCAGATGTATCATATCAAAACTAAATAATTGACAATTGTATTTTTATTATTTTAACAATATCGACTGAAATATAACATCTGTTTCATCCACTGGCATCCAATTGCGTTGAATTTTATTGGTTCGTATCATTATCTATTTACTGATATTATTTTGTTCTTAGATCAAATCGAATCGAACGATGAAGCGCAGAAGCAAAGAAAGAGTGAACTTTCCATAAAGAAGTACACAATCAAATGATGTATATAATCAAAAGAAGTACAAACATAATACATACATATAAATTTAATCAAAAGGAAACTTCATCATTTAGTCGATTAAATGGATTCTCTCTGGCTAAACTTTTATTGTATGGACGAAAAATCAGCACAGGAGAGTGTCAGAGAAAAGTCAATGAACTAATTTAAATAAATGGAGTCAATTTAAGTAAATGGAATTCTATTTTACTGATTGACTTTTTTTTTTTAATTACACGCATCGTAAAAAGAATTTACATCTTGTTCACTATTTTCTCAATATTTTTCCCAGAACGTGCTCCCATCTTTTTTTTTTCTTTTTTTGCCTCTCCGTACGGCATTCGACAGCAAGCGATTAACCCTTTTCGCGGGAGAACGACGCTAGGACGGTCATTCGTATAATACACGCGATTTAAATGTTTCTGGGGGGGGGGGGAGCGGCGAATGAAATTGGACAGATTCAATTCTATGAAACGATGTCCCTTAAGAGCAATTCCACGTCGCTGTTCCGAGATCGCGCAAATATTACGGGAAATTTCATAAAAGGCTGATGGCGGCTTAAGTCGAAAGAAAATAACGAAGGAAAATGGCGGACGACGAGAGGGAGAGAGGGAACGTAGAGATGTAAGAACGAAGTGGATGAATCGATAATTCGTGAGAATCGAATGAACCAGCCTCGTCCTAACGGGGTTGAAACGTTCAAGTGACCGAATAAATCAGTGTAACGGGATTACGAGTCAGATTAAGTGGCAACTACGCGACACGGATAACACGGACGAGGTAAGGAACGATCGGATGAAGAAAAGAAAAAAAAAAAAAAAAAAAAAAAGAAGCGTTAACAACTCAGTCAACTTAACCAGACAGAAAAAAAAAAAAAAAACAAGAAGAGACTCCAAATATAATATCGTAATTCGTGCAAGTTTTACGACGTAGAGAGGAGTGGATTTACATATAAAACAAACCAGGCGCTTATCTCGGGCGACATGGGTTTGCCTGAGGGCGGTGGCGCCGCTACGTTTCGTTGGATTAGTCAAAAAATTACCCCTGTTTATCAGGCATAACAGTGCTTAGTCATAATCACGAGTGGTGTCCGCGTTCTCTTTAGAATGCACGTATTCATTATGCCGGCATTAATTTACGGAATCTCAGGGGCTATTATTCCCCCGTATTATACGAACGAATAAATTCGGTGTGCATTGATAAACCGCAAGGTATTATGCAAACCGCGTGAAACGGATGTGCAATTGCTAGCCAAGATATTCTTGGTAACGTGGTAAACCAATTTTTGCGCGTACGTTGAAAGTCAAAGACTGAAAAAAGTATACGGGATGCGTGTGATGTATAAATAAAACAGCACATAGAATGTTGTAAAAATTTAAACTTTCATGGACAAATGAATATGAAATGATATAAATATGATGAATTATAATAGAAATATAGATGTACGTTACGTATGAAATATTTTGACGTTTCGTTACATTGTAACAACCGATTATTAAGATTAAGGGAGATCATACATAATCAGGCGGATTATTAATCGAATTATCGCGCCACGTTGGAAACCAAAAGCACCCCTGATGTGTGAAATGAAATAATTGGCCTAGTCTGGTGTGTTTATACGCGAAATATTTAGATATCTCGCATAATTAATTCGCAAATAATTTACAACCGTTTGAAAATGATCACACGCGAGGTAGAGACTTGTATTTCTGAAACATGATACATCAAACTCTTCAAGGTAAATTATTGCAATTCGGTATTCCTTGTACGCGCAAAAGTATCTTTATACCTTACATTCTGTTGTACTCTGTTTATTTATAAAATTCTAAAAAAGAATACCTCAAAAACAAAAGGAAAATTCCTGAATAAGCAATTCACAAAATTCTCAAATATCCTAGCCGGGGAGGAAAAGAAAAAAAGACTCATCGTCGTTTCCACATTTCGTCTAGACGAGGAACAGATTGCGAGACGATAAAAAATATCGAGGAAAAACAGGAGGAAAAGCCGAAAAGAAACGATATTCGCAATTTCGCGTCTTTAACAGTCTGGCGCATGCATGATAAGCGAGCCAGAGCGTCTCGTAATAAATATTTTACTGCTTCAGCGCGAGGAAACGGCGGAGGTTGCGGGGGAGGGACAGGAAGGAAAGCTCGTCGAGTAGGATACAAGGGGTGTCTGTCTGCCTCTAAATTTAAAGTTCCCCCTCGCGCGGCGAGGATTAAACTGACTTTACAACAGGCGACGAACCGTACCCCCGACCATCCGATTCACCCCTCTTCACCGTATATTCACCCGCTCTGCTTCCTCCGCGACAGAAAGGAGGAGAAAACGCGAGGTGGTGGGAGAAGCGCGAGACGATGCATCGCCACCCCTAGCACATATCTTACACCTTATTACATTTCTTAAATATGACCCGACGGGCAGCGACGTCGACTACCACCCCCTCGACTGCCACCCTCTTTGGATAGAGAGTGTCGCGCCTCTTCGCGGTGGCGACGAGCTTCGAAGGTTTGCGGGCCAAGCACCATTCTATATGCAAAATTTCACGGGCCGCGGAAGCGAAATAGCGAACTCGCGCCGAGCAAATGAAGTTCACCGTGGAAAATAACGCGAGGAATTTCTGGACCGTCCCCTTCTTCCGCCCAACCCACTTCCGCGGCCCACGCCTGTTTTATTTCTTCCAGGCAATTTATATTCCCGGATTATCGGGTCTCGGGGTGAATTTTCAGACGACGCGTAACCCGCCCGGCGATATCTTTGTAATCGTTGCCTGGTTTTATAAAGGCTTCTGACGAATTCAGCGGGAGGAGAAAGGGGGGAGGGGAGGGGGATGGGCTTTTACAACGATTCCGGATTACAGTGGATTTTTATCGGCGGATAGGAGTTACCGGATGAATGTAGTTCTCTCTCGTGTTTCCTCGTTATTCAAGCTGGTTTTTTGAGGATTTTTCTTTTTCGATTTTCCACCGGTGTGTTTTCGTGTTGTTTGCTAGCGGGGATTATTGGGCGTATATCGCTTCGACGTAGGAAAATTGTTTTCCGCGCAGGTGTGTGTAACTTCGTTAGGAAATTGTTGAAACATTCGACACTTTTAGTCCTACTTTTCAAGTAATTTAATATTAAAGTGTCTCTTCCATTTTGGCCAAAATTGCCATTGTGTTGCATTTATTTGATGCACGTGATAAGCTCACCTGTAGATTGGTTCGCCGGCACCCTCCTTGTACCAGAACACCATGCTGACCTCGTCGTTGTCGTTGGAACGAATATCACAAGGAAGATGCACTTTGTTCCCTACAACACCGCTGATAGTAATGACCGGAACTGTAAACGAAAAAAACGAAACGTTATTAGCGAGTCGTTCCGCAACGTAATAAAAATTATATTAAAAACGCCGAGAATAATTAAATTCGAAAGTTTTATCATACTTGGCAAGTATTCTTTCGGAGTAGTTTTAATTAATACAACATCAAAGCAATTATGAGTTCAAGCGATGATTAACAGATATTTCCTGATGTAATGTTTAATTTAAAAGTTTGTTTCATCAAAGGTTCGAGAGAGTTTGAAAGCTTTGTTATTGTATTTAATTGTACATTGTAGAACGTAATACTTCCTCCATAGAATATTTTTATAGGATAATTTAAATATTAATTAACGTTTGTAAAGTCTAAGAAGAATGAAAGTGAAATGGAAACATGCCTTGTGAAATTCGATAATTAATTACACTTGAAACAAATCTATCCTTTAATTAATCATACGCTGGGATACTTGTTAACCAATTTATTCGCAACTGAGCCAATATTTTAATCAGTTTTCAAGGCGACATCAATCACGTTGAGAGTATAAGCGAGAACTTCTTTCGAAATCGATTCGAACTTATACCAGCGACCCCTACGTGTCTAATCTCATCATTAATCAATCTTATCGATTTGCCATGTAACCGAAAAGTCTTCTTTATAAATATGTACGCGGCGTTCGTATTAAATTAAATAACTGTTGTAAACAAGTATGAAAAATTTCCTCGTTCTCGCATCTTTAAATTTTCCGTAATCACGCAGAAGTTTACAATCTCTCAATGAACCTTTTACCTTGTGTACACGTGTCATGCATTTTACTGTCGAGAAAATAAATTACAAAACATTTACAAATGATATCGTTTTATTTCTCCATCGAATATAAATATTCAGTCATTTCCAGAATGCGAATTTTTATGTAAAAGTGTACAAAATTTTTAATAGATCTCACCAGATCCACTTAATAAAGACACGAAATTACATTGAAAAGAGAGAGAGAAAGAGCAGTCTAATTATCACTGCACGTTGAAAGAGCTTCCTAGAGTAATCACATACCGCGGGGAAAGTATTCGCCGGAGTTATATGTAAAAATCACGTTAATTCCCAGTTGCGCGATTACACAGGCAAACCTTCTCAAATATGCACGTACGCGTAGGATAATTAACCGCGTTCGTTTGGCGGATGGGTAGGATGGTTTTACAAGGTAATAGAAACCCGGTGAGAGGCAGGGCCAAGGTGGTGCACGCGAGTTACGAAGACATCCTTTGGGATTAGGTCTCATTACACGAGAATTCTGCGGTGACGTACGCGCTGACGGTTGAGGTCGTGGTTTTCCGACCGAACTTAACACGGGGCCAAGTCGTCGTCTTGCTGGTTGACGACGCACGCTGCGCTTAACAGAGGTTTGATGTCCTCGTCGCGCGATGTCTACCCGATTAGATTTACATACAGATGGAATTATCACCGTTTTAACGAGCTACGCGGCGACGTACCAATCCCTCATCTCATCCTCTATTGGTTCGATTTCATAAACATCGATCGATCGGACAGAGTTCAAACACAACAGCTATCGCATGACTAATATCAAAGTTGCTTCTTTTTTGATTTAAAAAAAAAAGCAGTACGTATTATTAAAAAGCAGACAGAGAAATACAATTCGAACAACTCGCTCGTCTTTTTTCTAACTCGCTGTTGTTTCTGTCACGACGGTGACTTTGTCACCAATTAAGACACGGATCAACCGCACGTTTGTCGGTCGGAAATTAACGATTTCACTGTGGATTCATCGAGAATATCATCGATCAACGACACTGTTCCGTAGAGCGATCGCAGAAGCTCGGCACTTACGTGGATTTGCATCTTGGGCCACGAGGCGCTGATAGCTCTCTGCAAGTTCGGAAACATAACGGCGAAAGTCGAGAAACCGACTGAGATAGAGAAAAAGATAGACGAATGAGTGTCTAGAGATGAACCGTTGGAAACTTCTGACTGAATATCCGTTGGCCGGGTAAGTTCCCGTGAATTCCGTTGTCAAATTGAACATTGAGAATCGGCGGGGGTAAATGCAGAGATTATGGCGAAAGCGCGGGGATAATTTTGTTTGCGCTGTATTTATCTGCAGTGGCTACAAAAATTCTTTGCACGCTGTTTTTACTCTAACTACTGTATTTACTTGACTAGTCTGTTGCAAATTACAATTAGTAACATTACATTCCAGAAGTCTCATGTAACTCAAGAAGTTCGAGTTACTAGTTTGTTATAATATTTTATCGATCGTTTATTCTCGAACGAAATTTATGCAAATTTGTATATCTGAGGATACCTACGATCAAATCTTGATAGAAAATTGTTTTCACATACCAAGTATCACAGAAAAGATTACACGTTGAATATTCTGTGGAATTTTGTATCTTCAAGTTTCTTGCAGATATATGAAAACACGCAGTCGAATAAAATTCGTCAAGATAAACAATATTATATAGTAAAGTCCAATTCTTAACTCTCAGGAATAAAATTAGGATACGCCTTTTTAATAACGTGGTGAAAATAAAATAGTCAAGCAATGAGAAACAATAGGTTTTAATTTTAGCTCTCTAAAATGATATCGTTTCCTGGGATATCCATTGACTTTTGGGAAGGATTTCTTGAATAGAATTAATGGCTCGAATTGGTATTGGTTTTCGATTAGATAGATTTAGAGCCATTGTTACGCATATACATATATCCGAGAGGATTTCTTTTGATTCATTGGGACTCGGAATAAAGCTTATAGTAACAATAATTTGAAATATAGGTACACGTATCGGTTATTCAACAACTTGGATTCTTTGTTTCTTATTATATAAAAAGAAACATGTATTATCAAGTGAATTTGTAATTATTCATATAATTATTCATCCAATTAAATAGATTGTCAATTTCGAACTTTTGAAAACTTGTAAGAAGTTTCGCGTCAAGTTAAACGAATTAAGATGCGATAATACGCACTTTATTGTAAAATAAATTACTAAAAGTGAAGGAAGTTAAGTTACTAAAAAAAGGAAAGGTGAAATTAATAAATTTAATTATATAACTAATTCCTCTGAGACAAAACACTTATTCTCTTCAAAAGATCAATGGCGTCATTGATCAATCATCAAGAGCTTCCTCCTCGAATCTTGCATCAACATCTGATAATTTTTAAATTAAAACGAGAATGAAATGAAAAATGAAAGAACGACACACTTTACACGCTTGGTAAGCATCAAGCACAATCTTATGGCAAAGTTCGTTCAACTCGTAGCATAGAACAAACTTTTTAGATAAACACAGACCACGAAGTGACAAGTACCAGGCTACGGTAGAACAATTTCATTTATCACAAGAAAAATGCTGAGACTAAACTCCACAGACCAAGAGTGACCATACATTTTCTAGAGATCGTGAGCTAGAAGGGAAAAGTTCGTGAAATAAAAGACACTGTCTGGCTACTGGCGACTGAATCGTTTCCTCCTGGCTGTTTCCTGTCGTTACGCGAAGTATAAATACAACGTATGTAAATACCACACGTTAGCAACCATTATCCTGTTATGCAGTTTAGCATAGACTCGAGACGCGAAACTCGTATCGCTATGCCATGTGAGTCGCGGTAAGATTCCAATAATTGAAGCTCGACCACCGCTTTCGTGTCCGGTCGATCGACTATCGAATATCGGGGGCAACATAACTTTCGCCGGTTAGGGTAGACTGATCTTAATTACTTTTGCCGAAAGTTTATCGGCTGAAAGTGAATCTACCGCCGAGACTTGCAAATGCAATTGGGCAGCTCGATTGACTGACCGATTCTTTTCTTCTTTTGTACAATTTCTCAGCGGCGAAAATTATGGAGAAGACTGTGAAGAAACGTGACGACAAGATGAATCTCTTCTGTTGTCTATAGTACGTAGGTATTTATACTGTATGTTCCTTTTATGTTCTGCCCCGTAATTACTTGAAATTTCCTTTGTGTTGTGACAACGAAAATAGATTTTTCGCTAAATAGAATGCCCCCCCAATTGACAATGATGAATAATTACACGTAATGAAAAAAAATGACCCCAGTCAAATATTCTATATGACCATCGCGTGAAATTTTTCACCGCGAAGCGGGGAATTCAAATCGACAACTCACACAACTGGGATACCCAGGCACGTTAGAACCGTCGTGGCGAGAGCACGCAAGACAAAAATCGAAGACTCTTGTTATCGTTGACTTACGGCATCTTTCGATGTATACGCTCGGGATTGCATGAAAGATCGCCGAGCGCGCCGATAAATTACCGAAAGATCCCGCGCTAAAAGGGAGGGAGGTAGTGATGCGCGGAACGCAAGGAGCGGAAGCGGATTCGCGGCGTGCCGGTGGAATAACGTTATATTTCATTTCGGGAAAGGAACGAGAAACGCCAGTGAGAAATAAGGCCAGCGAAATTTACGCGTTTCCAACGGGGGAAAAAGAAAATAAACGCGAGAAACGTGGGTATCCTGGCCACGCTCGCCCCGAAGGCGATCATCCTTGAGATTCAAGACATCGTGCACCACGTGTTCGTGGAAACGGAAAGGTTACTCAGTTAGGGGAGGCGGGAGCCCCCGAAACCAACCGCGAGCAGATGGAAAAAGGCGGCGGCCACGGTGTTTTGCGTTTGATGTTACCACGAAGTTGGCTAGTTAAGAAGCGAGAGGCCCGTTGATGGATTCGTTTCCCGGGTAGAAAGGTTATTTACGAACCGCACGAGTCGCCGCATCGATCCGTACCGGGAACGACGTGGGCGTTCGAGGATTCTTCGGCAACGGGAACGAAATTACGATGCACGCTACACACGCAGCGTCGAACGCTGTGAACTAGACAGACCGCTGGAATTTTTGGTCGAGGTAAATTTGGATCGAATTTCCTATCTGACAACGGGAGTTTTAGCTATTTCGTGAGGGAATGAACGAAGGGTTCAGAAACTAATTAGTGTACGTTGTTTTCTATTAAAAATGGCTCTTTCGTTTCTACCAATGGACCAGTTCAGT